CGTTTGTGGGGACCAAGCAGTGGATGTGAGCAGAGCGAGGCAGTGGGCGATGTGAATTCCTCATTGAAACCAATGAGGGCCCATTGAAACCAATGAGGGCCCACAGAATCACAGAATCACAGAACTGTGGGGGTTGGAAGGGACCTCCAGAGCTCATCGAGTCCAACCCCCTGCCAAAGCAGGTCCCCTACAGTAGGTCGCACAGGTCGGCATCCAGGCAGGTCTTGAACATCTCCAGAGGAGACTCCACCACCTCCCTGGGCAGCCATGTAAGGGTTGCCCTAACCCTAAACCAGAGATCTATAAGTATTTGTAAATGTGAGCGTGGTTAATTTTTTTTTCCAGGACACAGACAGTAAGAGACCTTTGTTTCACACATCTATACAGCGAGCATGTAGGAAGAGGGCACTAGCAAAGGCAGCGAGTGCAGACAAAAAAAACCAAAGCATTAAGTGGTTTGATCATTGAAACTTGAAAAACGGCCCAGCTGCTCAATGCTTTTGGTTTAATTAAAATAACTGCATACACGTAAACGCAACTTGAGTTTTGAAAGGTAGTTCTTGATGCAGGCATGGAGCAGCTGATTGCAGGCACTGAAAAAATGCTTTGCACGTGCAATTTCTTTTTTAGCCTCTTAGACAGCGGCGTCTTGGAAATGCACCGGATGTCCTGCTGCGGGTGTGTGTGCAAGATCATCTGCAAGATGATGCCGACCTGCAAGATCATCCAGTCCAACCCCACTCCCATTCCTATCAGTACCACCAGCACCAACCCACATCTCGCAGCTCCTCATCCAGGCGCCTCTTGAACTCTGCCAGGGACGGCGCCTCCACCACCTCCCTGGGCAGCCATTGCAGTGCCTGACCACTGAGAGAAAAAGTTTCTCCTAATGTCCAACCTAAACCTCCTCTGGTACAACTTCTGGCCATTTCCTCGGCTCCTACTATTTGCCTGAGAGAAGAGGCCAGGCCCTTTGACACCGCAACCTCCCTTCATGCACTTGTAGAGTGCAGTGAGGTCTCCCCTGAGCTCCTCTTCTCCATGCTGAACAATCCCAGCTCCCTCAGCCACTCCTCATAAGCTTTGTGCTCTAGACCCCTCACCATTTCATTGCCCTTCTCTGGACACGTTCCAGGCCTTCAATGTCTTTCGTGTAGTGAGGAGCCCAAAACTGAGCACAGCACTCGAGGTGTGGCCTCACCAGTGCTGAGAGTACAGGGGATGCTCACCTCCCTGCTCCTGCTGGCTGCACCATTTCTAATGCAGGCCAGGATGCTGTTGGCCCTTTTGGCCACCTGGGCACACTGCTGGCTCATCTTCAGCCGAGCATCAACCAACAGTCCCAGGTGTTTGAGGGCCACGAAGATGGTGAGGGGCCTGGAGCATCTCTGCTATGAGGAAAGGCTGAGTGAACTGGGTCTGTTCAGCCTTGAGAAAAGAAGACTGAGAGGGGACCTGATCCAGGTCTATAAATATCTCAGGTGTGGGGGGCAGAATGGCGAGGCTGGACTCTTTTCAGTGTTGAGTGGAGACAGGATGAGGGGAAACGGCCGGAAACTGCAGCATAGGAAGTTCTGCACCAATGTGCGCAAGAACTTCTGTACAGTGAGGTGACGGAGCACTGGAACAGGCTGCCAGGGAGGTGGTGGAGTCTCCTGCTCTGGAGATGTTCAAGACCTGCCTGGATGCCGACCTGTGCGTCCTGGTGTAGGGAACTGCTTTGGCAGGGGGGTTGGACTCGATGATCTCTGGAGGTCCCTTCCAAACCCCACAGTTCTGTGATTCTTGTATGTTGGTGTTTGAGCTACGAGATGTGGTTTAGTAGCTTGTGGTACTGATAGGAATGGGAGAGGGTTGGACTGGATGATCTTGCAGGTCGTTTCCAACCTTATGATTCTGTGTGATTCTGTGTGATTCTGTGTGATTCTGTGTCCCTTTCCTCTTCACACTCACAGCCACTCATCCCCAAGCCTTTGTGCTGCATGGGGTTGTTGTGCCCAAATACAGGACCCGGCATTCAGCCTTGTTGAACCTCATCCCATTCACCTCGGCCCAGCGTTCCAGCTGATCCAGATCCTCTGCAGGGCCTCCCTGCCCTCAGGCAAATCCACACCACCTCCCATCTTGGTGCCATCTGCAGACTCACTCAGGGTACACTCAATGCCTTCATCTGAGTCATCAATGAAGATATTAAACAGGATGGGCCCCAACACTGGCCCCTGGGGGACACCACTGGAAACAGATCGCCAGCTGGATTTCACTCCACTCACTACCATTGAGCACAGCCCTCCAGCCAGCTCCTCATCCAACGGAGGGTAAAACTGCCCAAGCCCTGGGCAGCCATTTTCAGCAGAAGGATACCATGAGAGACCGTGCCAAAGGCTGTGCTGAAGTCTAGGTAGGCTGCATCAACAGCCCTTCCCTCATCCACCAGCCTGGTCCCCCAGCCGTACAAAGAGATGAGGTTGGTCAAACACCGCCTGCCTTTCATGAAGCCCTGCTGGCTGGGCCGGATCCCGTGGACGTCGCGCATGAGACGTGAGATCTGTGCCAGCAGGATTTGTTCCATTGCCTTCCCTGGCACTGATGTCAGGCTGACAGGCCTGTAGTTCTCCGGATCCTCCTTACAGCCCTTCTTGTAGATGGGAGTCACATCAGCAAGCCTCCGATCCTCTGGGATCTCACCAGTCAACCAGGAACGCTGGTAGACAGCCGAGAGCGGCTCAGCAATCACCGCCGCCAGCTCCCTCAGCACCCTAGGATGAAGCTCTTCCCCTCTGCAGGGTGCCGTCAGGATGCTCCTGGGGGTGTCTGCTACCAACAGGGGCATGCAGTGCTCCCTACCTGGAAGGCGAGCACAGAGATCACAGGATCATTAAGGTCCTTCTCCTCCTCCAAGCTCATCCAGCCCTACTGTCCCCCTGCCATCAATATTTGCAGTGCTGTCAGTCATTCCTTCCGCCTACCCTGGAAAACTCTCCTGTAGAGCCTGCTTGCTTGCCCTGGGTGAATTTGGAAGGATCAACATTAGAAGCCAACAGAGAGCATGGCCAGCAGGCAGGGATAATAGCACAAACAAGCTGTTTGAAGCCCAAAATTCTGATGATGAAACACTAGATGATTAGCGAAGTGATTTTACCCCGTCTGCAACAAATGCACTCGTTTGCATGAAGAGTGCTGTGGACGTAGACGAGCTGGAACAAAAGCACAGAGACGGGGCAGTTCTCCTCTTTGAAGTAGAGATGGTAATCAGTTTGCATTTCTGTACGTGATGGCTTTAAAATGCTGAACGCTGAGCGAGTGTAACTCCTCTGCAGGGTTTCACCTCTTGTGTGACACACAAATTGTTGGATCCCCTTTAGATCAACAGGATTTTCTTGCTGTCTTTATGCCTGCATCATCCCCCTCCTCCCCCCCAAGCCTTCTGAAGATTTGCCTGGGATGGGCCTTTGGGTATCATCCCAGTGCTGTGCTATGGGGCAGCAACGCTATGGAGTAGCACTGTGGGACAGTGACACTGTGGAGTAGTAGTGTTATGGGGCAATGATGCTATGGGGCGGTCCCACTATGGGCAAGTTATGCTGTGTGGCAGCACTAATGGGCAGCAGCACTTTCAGGTGGCACTGAAATTATGGGGTAGTGGTGCTATGGGGCAATGATGCTGTGGGGTGGCACTGTGGGGCAGCGCTATGTAGCAGTGACGCTGTGGGGAAGCAACACAATGAATGGGGCAGTGATGCTATGGGGCATAGACTTTATGGGGTAGTGGTGCTATTGGGCAGTGTTATGGCATACAACTCTATGGGGCAGTGACTCTATGGGGCAGCAACACTATGGGCAGGAACACAATGTGGTAGTGACACTGTGGGGCAGCTCTATGGAGCCAAGAAGCTATGGGGCTGTGACTCTGTGACAGCACTATAGGGCAGTGACACTTCAGTGTGGCGATGCATTGGGGCGGTGCTGGCGGGGGGGCAGTGACGCTATGGGGAGATTCCATGGGGCAACTCTATGGGGCAGTGACATTTTGGCTCCGTGCTGTGGGGAAGTGATGCTATGGGACAGCACAATGGGGAAGTGATGGTGTGGGAGACTGCTGTGGGGCAGTGACACTGTAGGGCAGCGATACATTGGGCTGGTGCTACGGGGCAGTGACCCTTTGTGGTAGTGATGTTTTGGGGCAATGCACTATGGGGCAGTGACACCATGGGGCAGCAATGTGATGGGGACAAGGACACTGGGAAATCGCTCTGAGACAGTGATGCTACATGGGAGCACGATGGGGCAGTGACACTATGGAGCAAAGCTATGGGGCAGGGACACTAATGGGCTGTGACGCTATGGGGCAGCAGTATGGGGAAGGAATGCTGCATGGCAGGGTCGCTACAGGGAACCTCTATTGAGCAGTGATGCTATAGGGCAGCACAATAGGGCAGCGATGCTGTGGGGTGGCGCTATGGGGCAACGAATCTACGGTGCAGGGCTGCAGTGGGGTGGTGAACTACGAGGGAGCACTGTGGGGCAGCAATGCTATGGCTCAATGCTATGGGGCAGCACTGTGGGGCAGTGACACTGAGAAGCAGATCTATGGGGCAGTGACGCTATGGGGCAGAGGCAGTATGGGGTAGCACTATGGGGCAGTGACACTGAGAAGCAGGTCTATGGGGCAGTGATGCTATGGGGTGGAGGCGGTATGGGGTAGCACGATGGGGCAGTGATGATATAGGGTGCTGCTATGGGGAATCTCTGTGTAGGGCAGGGGTGCTGTGGGGCGGTGAATCCATGGTGCAAAGTAGCTATAGGGCAGCGATGCCATAAGGCGGCAGCAGCGCGGGGTGGTGACGCCAGGGGGCAGCGACGCTACAGGGACGAGGACACTTCGGGGAATCTTTATGAGGCAGCGGCGGAATGTGGCAGCTCTATGGGACGTGATGCTGTGGGGCAGCGGTGTGGAGTGGTGACTGCATGGGCAGGGATGGCCCTTGTGCCGCACACGTCCAAAAGAAGAAATGCTCTGTTTATTGGCCACGGCCAAAGCAGCAGCCTCTGCTTTTCAGCATCCAAAAAAAAAAACCAAAAGGCAGCCTCTGTTTTGCTGTGCAAAGAACAAATAGTGGAAATAGAAGAAAGGAACACGGCCACCTCCACAAAGCTCCTGCAAGCAAAGAGGCTCCTTGCTGGAGCAGCCAAGGGCCAGGGAAGCAGCTCACAAAGAGAGAAACTCCAGCCCCAGACGCTTCTCCGTCCCCAGCACACAAACGCTGTCTGCAGGCATTTCATGTCTCTGCCTTCACATCCTTTGCCTCTTCACATCCTGCCTGCTTCCCCCAGCCCCTGCCTGAGATGAACACGCTGCTGCTCTCCTGCAGGCTGCGATGACCACAAGCAAAAGGCAGAAGTTGAACCGTAGCACGATGGAACAAGAGCAACGGCAATGGGGAATTTGCAGCTTTTCCTCAGCCGGGGGGTAACAGCCGGCTGCAGCTGAGAGCAGGCAGCAAAGCCGCTGTGTCAGTGTGCTCCCTCCTCTGTCCTGCTTTCTTTCCTTCTCCTGTCACCTGAAACGCAGAAAGAAAACTCTCTCTCCACTCCCCCTCCCCAGTGCGGCGCTAGAAAGCGGCGTTCCTTTATATTGGCTTTTCCATTTCTCCTCTTAAGACTTCTTGCACGGGTTCAGCAAACTCACATTCTCCATCAAAGGCCGCAGCCTCCATTGCTCCAAAGAACATCCTGCCCTGCCGGTGCTGCTCCCACCTTCAGCTGGACGGTCAGCATTGCTGCTCAGCTTGTCTCCCACCCAGACGTCCCAATGCTTCCACCCAGTACAACGGCATTTTCCAAGCCCTCTGCTCTTGTCTGAACAGGACCGAATGTCTCTGCAACAGAAGAACGTGAGCCTCCACCAGCTGTGTTTTCTGGAACGTACCTTGGACACGTCCTTTTCCAAAGGCGATTTGGCCTGCGGTCTGTTTAAGATCTCCCCATTAATTGGCCCCGGCCAGTCAGGCATCTATAGAAATTTTCCTCCTGTAATGGTTGGAAGAATGGATGCAGCTCAGCTTTCCCCATGGCTCCAATTAGTGATTTTACATCTTAATTGCCCAGCCTTCCCGTGACCGGGCCTCAGCTGTGGGGGTCTCACCTTCATCCTGCACTTACTGCCCTTGTATCCACGGCTTTTGAGTGACCTGCCTCTGATGAGAGGCATGAAGAGGATGGCCTGCAGGTGTGATTATTGCAGAGGAAGAAAACTGGCTATAAAAGGAAAATGTGACCAGAAGTCAAGCAGAAGAAGCACGTGGTTGGTTTTTTTTCCATAGAATGCAGATGAAATCCTATAAATTGCACCAGGGTTAAGTTTAGGTTGGATATCAGGAAAACTTCTTTACAGGAAGGGTTGTGAAACACTGGAATGGGCTCCCCAGGGAGCCTATATGCATATAATGCCTGTATGCCTGTATGCATTTAAAAACCATTTGGATGCGGTGCTCAGGGACGTGATTTAGCAGGGGGGTGCTAGAGTGAGGGTAGGATGGTTGAGTTGCGGTTGGACTCAATGATCTTCAAGGTCTTTTCCAACCTGAGCAATTCTATGAGTCTATGATTCTACGAGTCTATGGTTCTATGATTCTATGATTTTCTAGATCTTTGCTGCTGTTTTTTTTTCCTGGGCAACGCCATCGCCAACAGCTGAGCTGCTGATGCTGTCTGTGCCCATCAGCTTTCAGCGCTGTTGTAAACACCCAAATAATTTCGTCTGGATATCTCTGATGAAAGCAGACTTTATTCGCGATTGCAGCGGCGGGCGTCCCGCGAGCCAGAGCGCCCCTAAGGGCACAAGGGCAGCTTTTGGGCCTTGTTTCCCCCTCTGCCTGCCCCCCTCCCCTGTTCCCCATTGCCTGGATACTCCAGGCTCACAATCTTACCCACAGTTTACATTCACTAATCCGCCTGTTATCAGCTGTCAGTCGGTTGCCACCCCGCTGCTTCCAGGATGTCTCAGTGGTTCTGATACCTGATTTCCTTCCAGGTCTTTGTTAAACACAGAGCGCTGGGCAGGGGGAGGGGAGCTGGTCAACCTCCTGCAGGACATTCCTGCTGTGGGTCCGGCCAAGTGCATGCAGACCCACAGTGGGTGAGGCCAAGTGCATGCAGACCCA